TGGTGTTGACGACATTCCCATCTTCCCCTCTTCTTCGTCTAACCCCCCTCTTCTTCGTCTAACCCCCCTCTTCTTCGTCTAACCCCCCTCTTCTTCGTCTGTGTATGGTTGGGGACTGGCACATTCTTCCTGTGTGAGCGCCAGGCCCCTTCACACCATGGAATGATGATGATGTATGTTTGGTCTGCATTGCGACATTGATTGTTCGGATCATTGGTATTTTAGCCTTCCGTTGTGCTATCTTGTACCATGTGAGAGAGGTCGGTTCTTGTTCTGGTCTGTACCGTTATGGTATGCGACAGTTTGGTATCGGAGCGGACCTCTCAATCACAGGATCCACCCAGTCAAGTAGCCAGCTTGCTTGATCTACTGATTGTTGAATGATTGATTGATTGATTGATTGATTGATTGATTTGATTGATTGATTGATTGATTGATTGTTTATTAGTAAATCAAGTAGGACTTCGTCAAATCTCTGCAAATATTTTTCTCTTTTTCGCAACTTCGGATATTAGCATTTCGTTTTCTGTTTTACTCTGGGCATATTAGGTGAACTAGGGAGGTTGTCATATTCTAAGACTGGATATATTATTCTCTGAAAGTGGAACCTCCAGTCTATTTCGTGCAAAAAAAGAACCTTTTTTTTCAAGATTGCATTTTTTTTGAAAGCCGAAACTTTGCGGAACCTTGCCTAGATCTTGCTCATAGTACTCCTCTGAAATGCGTCACTCATAGCCGATCGACAGATATACAAAAAAAAAAGGGGGGATGATCCTCTTCTTTTATTTTTCTATTTCCATTCCCGGTTTGGTAACCTCCAGGAACTAGCCATCCTCAACAGAGAGCCTCAGGTAGAGACGGTAGAGTCCTTCCGGCTGCGAAAAGTGAGGGTAACAAAAACCAAACCATGGATAATCTTCCAGCCTGGCCCAGCATAGCAGAGCTCGAATTCGATCCTAAGAAATGGATATGGAAACAAAGCAAAACCGGAAAAACTAGAACGATACTGGAATACAACGTAAAATTCGGGTACAACCTAGGCCTACTGACCACGGACCCCAACCCCAAACTTGAAGACAGATGGAGAGAGTCACTTATCCTAGAGCCAACAGCCTCAATATCCATCCGCTGGACAAAATACCTCCCCATCAGACCAGCTAGAATCTGTAGCTTACAGTGGCTCCTAGCCCATGCAACACTCCCTATCAACCAGTGGCTCCACAAAAAAAGAAAACACTCGGACCCCGACAGCTCGGAACTATGTGTAATGTGCTGTGACAATGTTCCTGAAGATATCCCCCACTGCCTCCTCTACTGCAGCCAGGCCACCTGGATATGGAACAAAGTTCGAAATCTATGGTCCCACCTCTTCTCATCCCCTCCCTCCAACCTCACCCCTCTGAACATCCTACTTCTATCTAACATCCCCAACAGCCTCAGAGGTGGTAAAGCGGTCTAGTTCCACATGATCAGGAAACTAGCCCTGTGGGTCATATGGAAAAGGAGATGTACGAAGACAATCAAGGGCTCAGAAGTGGCCAAGGAGGAAATGTGGATCCTACTGCTGAGGATGGTGCAAACAGAGATCCGATGCAAGTGGAGGAGTATATCGACAGCAACGAGAGGCAAACCTGAAAGACTCACACTCAGGAGACGAATCTTCATGAGAGACTGGTTGCTACAGGGGAAGATCGCGACAGTCTCCGACAATAAATTACACTGGAAGAAATGGGCGACTCCAATTACGACAAGGAATGTAGCCCCAAGAGGGACAAATTGAGGTTCTAGCCTCATACGGATAGACATCTCTCCCAGTTTTCTTGTGCTTCAATACCTATTCGACAGAACTAACAGGGTTTCTGAGAAGAAAGCTAGGGTAGGACAAGCTGACAGTCAATCCTCCCATACAGGAGTAATCAATGCTGGTCAGGAACCGGACTGACGCTCCCCAGAATGGACATGGAGCCAGGACCATAAGTGTGATGGGGCTGAGGCAACGAGGCTGGGAGAGAGAGGGAGAGAGTGAGAGCACACACACACACTCACTCAACTCGACGCAGACTCGACACGACTCGACGAACGCAGACACGAAGTGGCAAAGTCGCAAAGTCGAAGTCTTGGATTTCCGAACACAATGTCGAAGCAAGTCACACTGAGTACGAGTACAGCAGAAAACTGGTACGAGACTGGTCCCCGTACCGTACGGGGAGCCGGTACAAGTACCGGTGACACGTACGGTACCAGGGGCATTTCTGCAAAGGCCCCGAGGGCAGAACTGAAAAATGCGGTATTTGAAAGTGGCGCCCGAATTGCAGCATGGCGCCAGTTGTCCAAAATCCTAGGGTACCAAAGGAGGGGTTTGGAAAAAGGGTGCCAGGCTGAAAACGGGATGCAGCCGAAACAGCAGAAAGATAGACCAGGGATCGAGCCCTGGCGGAGTTCGTAACACTATCCCCTCCCTCTAGAAGGCAACGTCCCAGCTGCCAAGAATCATGAAGCAATGCTGAAATCTGTGAAGCACGGGACGGGGCCAATCACTGGTTAACAAGTTGAAAGGGAAGAGGGGTATAATGTGGGTGGCATGGTCTGCGGGAGTAAGAGGGAACAGGGTTTGGTACCGGTTAACAGAGTTGTCCTACTGATGAACTAGGGGGGTTGCAGGGAACAGGGTAGTGCTAGAAATGAACCGAAGGGACGGCAGGGAGCAGGGTAGTCCTACTGATGAACTAAGGGGACTGCATGGTTTGCTATATGTTAAGGGGGAACAGAGTTCAGGGAACAGGGGACTTCTATTGATGTTCTACTGGGTAAGGGAAACAATGGTCAGGGGACCAGGGGATGTCTATTGATGTTCTAGTGGGTAGGGGGAACAATGGTTAGGGAAACAGGGATCTGCTAATGATTTTCTACAGGGTTGTCAAAGTCAGGAAAATTAAAAATGAAAATGTTTGTTCAGGATGCAAGGGCTGGTGTGTCCGAAGGAGTCGGAAGTAGATTCTCATGTAGGAACAAAGTGTCCAGGTGTCTTGAAAGGGGGTCTGCTGCGGTCTTGATCAGATCTTTGGAGTAGGTGGTAGAAGCGGTTTTCAGCGGCTGCGATAGGTAGAAGTCCAAGAAGCGTAGTAGTAGTTCAAGTGTCAAAGTCCAAGTGCTAGGGTGCGTCTGGTACGCAAACTGCAATGAGGTCTGATCTGGAAGCAAGGAAGTCGCAGACTGATGCAAAGATCCATGTCGCAAGTTGCTGCTCCAGTAAGTCCGCGAGTCGGGATGCCGGCCGATGAAACAGCATGGTGGCCAAACCAGCTGCATAATCTCCATGAACAGTGAGGCAGCAGGCCATCGTCCTCGTGCGCTTGCCATTAGATCCTTTATCGCCGGTGTCACGCAAGTTCACAAGCGTTGGACAAGAGAGACAAGGTAGTGGAGAGGACAGATCGGAGAAGGCTAGGCGAGGGCAAGGGCAGATCAGACATCAGGAATCAGGTTCAAGGGTGTGTGTAGAGCGGGGTTGCGAGGTTGTAGCAGGGTTTATACAGGGGTTTAGGGTTGAGAGTAGAAGAGCAGGTGCCAGTGGGATGCTCGACCGACGGGATAGCAGACGTCGTCGGGAGGGGGTCATGCGGAGTAGACTGCGTTGCCTGGGGGTCGTCCGATGGGATGTGTGTCACCGGAGGGGGGGTAGGCAGACTGCTAGTCGATGCCAAGTGAGCCACCGGTGGAGGAGGGATCGTGACCGATGGGAGAGCCGACAGACAAGTGGTCGATGCCTGGGGAGGATTGCAAGAGACAGGGGGATAGTGTTCAGGTGGGGGAGTGCCCGACTGTCGCGGTGGCGGAAGAAGTGGGAGTAGAAGGGACGGGTCCCGTGGAGCGAGGGGCCGGTCGAGTAAAGCGGCTAGCGTTGGGGCAGTTGGTCTGTTGATGACCTAACTGGCGGCAGCGAAAACACCCGTTGTGTTCCTGGAGGTATATGCGTTTTGCGAGTGTGAGTTTTGGAGACAACGGGGTGGAGAGGCAGAAGGCGGTCGGGAGGCACGATCCTGGCGTTCCGTCCGCATAAGGTGGGCGGTCTGAAGGTCCTCAATGGTGAATTGGGAGGGGTCGAGAGAGGCAGTGTCGAAGTTGTCATCGGAGGTGGGTGGAGTGGTGTCGTTATGGAAAAAGCGGGGGCAGGAGGGAGCGGGCGCGGATTGGTGATGGGGGTGGAGGAGTCGATCGTGGTGAAGCATGCGAGAGAGGAGGTCAGCAAGGGGCATGTCGGGCTCGTGGGCGAGGGCGGTTGCAAGGTCTTTGTGGCATACTCATTTGATGCGGGAGATGAACGCAAAGTTGGGAACGACGATGGTGGGGAGGTGGTGGCGGAGAGAGTGGACATATTGGACGAAGCGGTCCGTGGGACCGGTCTGGTGGAGGTGGCAGAATTGTTCAAGGTAGTCATCAATGGTTTTCTGGGGGCGAAAGGTGGCAGTGAGAAGGTTGGCCCATTGGAGGAAGGAGTGATGTGGTCCTCTGGAGGCTCGGCGGTTGCTGACTTCAGCCATCCACCATTTGGCGGCATTGCCGAGGAGGCGGGAGGTGSCAATGGGGAGCCAGTGGGCAAGGGGCATGTGGTGGAGGTGAAAAGAGTTCTCGAGTTGGGTTAGGAAGAGGAAAACGTCCTCATGGGGGGGGGCGGAGAAGGACATGATTTTGGCGGATCGGAAGGAACGGGGGATTTCCCCATCACGGGAAACGATATGGGCTGAAGCTGAGGTTATCAGGGGTGGTGTCGTAGCAGGTGTAGTCGAGTTGGTTGTTGTCCTCACGGAGGTACTTGGGGGGGAGTTGTGGTATTGCAGGGTAAACCCCGGAGGTGACTTGGGAATAGGTGGGACAGATGGTGGGGATGGTCGAGGTCATCATGATGGGTTGGGGAAGGGTATGGGAGTGCGGGGGGGGAAGAGGGGTGACGCGAATGGGCGAGGAGGCGGTGTGCTGGATGCGCCGGATGAGGGAGGAGGTGGGGGGAACGAAACAGTGGTGGAGGTTGAAGGGTTGGTGGAT